CACCTCCGCCCCGCCCCCCCCCCCCCAGGCAAACTGCAGTGGATGGATTGAAGAGTGCCTCATCCTGTCTACCTAAAACCTCAAATGGGATATTTGGTAACAAGGTCTAAACAGACGTAGTTAGTTGGCACGAGGTCATGACAAATGAAGGCGGGTTCTCAATCGGTAAGTGAAAGGAGGCATACAGGAACACAGCTATGAAGGCAGAGACAAGGGAGACAGGGGTGTGGAAGATGCTTCCCCCGACCTGTGGAGGCAGTAGGTTGCCAACATCTTGCCTGGGTCTTTCTAGTTTATAGGGCTGTCAGAGAAGTTTCTAGACAAGTGCCAGTCTGTGGTTTTCTCTGTCTAGGAGCCTCAGACTCACCTTGTAGTCATAGCCAGCGCTGAAGAGGATGTTGGCAGCCGTGGGGTGCCATTCCACCAGCCCCACCCTGCGCGAATGGCCCACCAGTTCCTTTCTGTAGGTTGTGAGGTTCCTTGTCAACAACTGCTTGGGGATGTTCCAGATTTTAATCTGGTGGGGAGACACAGACAGTAGTGTGAGACAGGACATCTTGGTGCTGTTCTGGTCCTCAGCCATGGATCAGGTAGTGCCTGGCAGAAGGACCCGGTTTTTGCTCTCCATTGCCACCACCACCCAGTGGAGGGAAGACTGGAGCCTCCCCAGGGTCCTCCACCAAGCAAGGCTGACCTTGACCAGAAGGGAGGCTTCATTCTCAAACTTGTCCCAGGGACTCTGACCATCCCCATGACCTGAGGGGAGCAGGTAGGGTGGACTGAAGATGGAAGGGACTGCCATGGTAAAGGGTAAGGTCTCTGTCATGGAAGGAGCCACAGGGAGACCAGCATTGGGACATGGGGACCAGGAAGTGCTGTGAGTATGCTCTTTCCATTTTGTTGGGTTCTCAAGCTCCAAATCAGTCTTCAGATCATATCTTAAAGATACAAAGGTTTCCCAGAAGGCATTGCTTGCAGCTCAGGGACAGTTATTTCCTGGTTTTGGTTTTGATATCAGGTCATGAACTCTGCTTGCTCCATCTGCAGCACACACAGAGTTGAGCCTGGGGTGGAGCTGAAGGGATACAGGTTCTGGGCTTATTTATGGAAGGGGAGGTGTGTCCTGAAGGAGGTAGCACCTACCCTATCCTGGGGAAGAGGAGCAGGGAGCACTTTGCAAGGATGCATTTACATGGACTAGGTCTGTTACCACCCTAGGCTCCATTATTCTGTCCCTTTTATTCTCCAGCATCAGAGGGACAGCAGCAGGCCAGAGCCTTTCAGGAAGACCTGGCAGGGTGTGGTGGTGCACACCTGTGAGCCCAGCATTAGGGGGTCTACAGTGGGAGGATTATAAATTTAGGGTCAGCCTGGACTACAGTATGAAATCCCATCTCAACAAACACCTCCTCCCAATTAAACAACAGCAACAACACACTCCCATTTCTGCCCCCCCCCCCCAATATCTTTCAAGAAATCTTCAGAGCAGTCCTGAAAGGGCAGGTATCAGGAGGCAGCAAAGATGGCCATACTCCCAGTTTTTCAGGAGGCCAGGGCAGGAGGATTGCTTGAATCTAGGAGTTTGAGATCACCCCCCAGTAACACAGAGAGTTGGTGGACTTGGCCTCTTGGGGTGTTTTGGGGCTATGTTTGAATAAGCCCCTCCCTCGTCCTATATTCATCCACTGTGACATGGAGTGGCCTGATCATTTCTGGTCCCCTCACAGCATGTCACAGAGAATGAGTCTCACTGGGTCTTCGTGAGATGGGCAGAAGTATTTCACCCATTTTATGGGAGGGAAACTGAGGTCCATAGAGAGGTATCATGGGCCTCAGGTCCCAAACACGCATGATGTCTGCTCCACTTCTCACATCCTCCCCGTGAAGCCATCAGTGAGATAAAGCCAGGCATGGGACACTGATGGCTTGGGAACCTGCCCTCCATCTTCCTCCCAGCATTCTTCCATAAACACTGCACTGGCACTCACCGTGGCATCTTCAGAACAGGAGGCAATCTCGAAGTCATTGAAAGGATTCCACTTGATGTCCAAGACATTCCCTCTGTGCCCGCAGACCTTGGGGTAGTGAGGGTCCAACTTTCCTGTCTGCAAAACAGTGTCACAGGCATTGGAGAGGAGACTGGTAGGACGATGTTAGCTCCTCAACCAGTCATCGCTGAGTGAGCAGGACAATGTAAGGGGCAGATTCAAGGCAGCATACCTTCCCACACCTCCTGTGACCCTGGGGGAATCACTTCACTTTTCTGAACCTTCCCATCCTCCTTGGCATAGAGGAGGCTGTAACGAGTGTTTCACAGGCTGGGCTGAGGACCACAGAATGGTCTGGCCCGGTGCCCAAGCAGGTGCTCAGTGTGGGTATCTTCATTCCCATGCAGCTGCAGGAACTAATGCTGTACAGCCCTTTCTGAAAATGGCCTGGCAGATCCTCAGAAGTTAAATGCTAAGAGGTATCATGTGACCCAGCAGTGTTATTCCTAGACATATCCCTGAGAGAAATGAAAACCTGGATGCACTTGAAACTCATTCCCCAGCAGTATCCACAGCAGTGCAGTCTATGACAACCAAAACCTGGAGGCAACCCAGATGCCCACTGACCAACGAGGGGGAATGCGGTGTGCGGCACAGCTACATGGTGGAGTATCATTCAGCCAGAAAAAAATAACACTGTAATGAACCTCAAAAGCATTACCCTAAGTGAAAGAAACAGGCATCAAACAGGTGAGTGCAATTCCAGCATGGCAGAGGCTGGGCAGAAAAAAAAAAGAGGTCAGTCTGGACTCAAATAAACATAAAACCAAGTATTAGTTAGACATTGGTGGTATGTGCCTACTTTCCCAGCAGCTTAGGAGGCTGAGGCAGGGGGATCTTTTGGGCCCAGGAATTAAAAGAAAGCCAGAGCAACACAGTGAAATGGTCACTCACACATACATGTGCTCCCTGGGGATCCCACTGGGATGACATTCAGACACGGGAGCACTGTGTGAGCAGTTTAACCCTGCCTCCATACCTGGCACGCCCAATCCTGATTACTGCATTTGAAAGCCCAGTGCCAATGGTGGGGGTGGCTCCTCCCTCCCTTCCATCATCATCATCATCATTTATTTATTTATTTATTTATTTATTTATTTATTTATTTATTTGGTTTTTCGAGACAGGGTTTCTCTGTGTAGCTTTGGAGCCTATCCTGGTACTATTATTATTATTTTAAATTTTCACTTCATTTTATGTGTACGGGTGTTTTGCCTGCATGTCTGTCTGTGCACCATGTACCCACAGAGGCTAGAAAAGGGCACTGGATCCTTTGGGACTGGAGTTTTAGATGGCTGTGAGCCACCATGTGGATCCTGAGTATCACCCAGGTCCTCTGGAAGAGCAGCCAGTGCTCTTAACTGCTGAGCCATCTCTCCAGTCCTGCCCCCAGCTCATGTTGTTTTTGAGACTGTGTCTAATTTTGGTTCAGGCTCCACATGTAACCAGGAAGGATGACCTTGATCTCTGGATCACCTTACCTCTACCTTTTGAGGGATGAGACTGTAGGTGAGGATGGCCTGTTTTAACACGCTCAGCTCTTTCTGATTTTTTTTTTTGGTCTGATTATTATTTTATTGTTTTGATTCTTTTCTTTTGAGACAGTCTCATTCTGTAATCTCATGGTGATCCTTTTGTCACAGCTTCTAGAGTGTTAGGACTATAGGCATATGTCACAAAGCCTCTCTCTAGACATTAGGGACATTATTTGACACATTTGAAAAGCAATGTCTCATATGAAATATTGCAATGTTAAACTTACTGGCTTTATATAAGGAATATGCTAAAGACAGCCGGGCAGTAGTGGCACTTGCCTTTAATCCAAGCACTTGGGAGGCAGAGACAGGCAGATCTCTGTGAGTTCAAGGCCAGCTGGTCTACAGAGTGAGTTCCAGGATAGGCTCCAAAGCTACACAGAGAAACCTTGTCTCGAAAACATAAATATAGATATGCATGCTAAAGAAATTGGTATTATGCATGTAACTTACTCTCAAATGATTCAGACAAAACAAACATTAAGACATTAAACTAAGCCTGGTTTCTTACTTATGAAGCTGAAGTAGGAAGATGACAAATTCCAGGCCAGCCTGAGTAACTTTGTGGGTCTCCAAATTTTACAAAGTGGAAAGCAGGGTAGGGACCATATCTCAGAGACAGAGCACCTGCCTAGCATGCTGGGCTCAACCCTTACCACTCCAGCTCACTCCTGCTTGATCCAGAAAGCCCCATTTCTCTCTCCAAACCCCACCCTCTCAGAGAATCTTCAACAAAGAAAAGGCACCAAAAAGCCTAGCTCTGCATTCTTGGTGGTTATGGAAGCTCTTTCCCTCAAGTTGTCAGGAGCCCAAGACCTGCCTCAAGCGGTCAGTTTTTTACTATACTTGGGCACAAACCCACCTTGTGGAAGACACATCATCACACCTCATCTACAGGGTATATAAGCTGCCTGCTTTAGTTCTGCCAGGTGACTTCTCCGGCCCTGATCTCTGGGTTCTAGGAGGCTCACTTGGGAGCTGCTTTGCTCAAATAAACCTATTCTTTGGGTTCTTCAGTTCAGCTTGATGTGGCTTACTGCATCAGTGGAAGAACTTATTAACCATCACCAAGGAATAAGAATGTGTACATGCACACACTCAACAGATGTGAGTTGTATCACTTGTTACTTACGTGTGAAAAGGTGGGGAAAGGCTGCTTTTCTCTGTCAGACTACTCTGCCTCCGTTGTTGGAAGCCATAGCCTCCTTGCACAGGTCATGCTCTGCTAGATTCCAGTAAGAGACCAGTCTTAGCTACCAGCACCTTGCCCAGCCCCCAGGCCATTCTGTGTACTGTCCCCAGAGTGCCCCAGCCCGTCACATATGTATGCTATGTTGATCAGGCTGGCCTTGAACTCCTGATCCTCCTACTTCCACTTTTCATGAGAGAGGATTACATAGCATAGGTGTGCACCACTAAAGTTGGCTTTCAGGGTAAGGTTTTGAAAATGAAAAGCCAACCAAGTCATGTACCAGATTCCACTCTGCAAGCCCCTTCCTCAGGCTTGAACTATGATCATCTCTTCCTTGTAGGACTACAAACGGTTAGGTGAAACAGCCCAACAGGGAGGGAGGATCGGAAGTAAATACTCAGCAATAGTAGCTACACCTGTGACAATCTGCATCTCAAAGCTAAGAAAGAAAAACAAAAAACCAACCAGAAGAAAACACACTAACAGCTGTAGTTGCAGATGGTGAGACACACAGACTTCTTTTTACATCATCAGTTCCTTTTTTTTTTTTTTTGAGATAGGGTCTTTTGTAGTCCAGGCTGGCCTTCAACCTGTTATGTAGCCAAGGCTGGTTTTATACTTTTATTTTATTTAATTTTGGCATTTCGAGATAGGGCTTCTCTGTAACAGTCCTGGCCTCGCTGTCCTGGAACTCACTTTGTAGACCAGGCTGGCCTCAAACTCACAGAGATTCACCTGCCTCTGCCTCCCAAGTGCTGGGATTAAAGACGTGTGCCACCACTGTCCGGCTTGATTTTGTATTTTTAATACTTGACTCTGCTTCCTAAATGCTGGGATTATATGACCAAACTGTCCTTGTTATTTTTAAAGCAAATTTCCATATCTTTGGCAATTTAAACAAAAAGTCTTTATTTCTGTAATCCCAGAACTTGGGAGGCAGAGACAGAAGGACTGTCCCTAGGCTGAACATAGTTGGCTTACATAGCAAGTCCCAGATCAGTCAGAGTTGTGAAATGAGAACTTGTCTTAAACAATACAAACAGAACTATAAAATTATTGAAAAGATGGCCTTTCTAGGAGTAGCCAAAAATTTGTTGTACTAGTTCAAAGCATTTTCAGAGAGGAGGAATGGTGAACAAACAGGCCATGCTTTCTAATGCTGTACCTGTGGCAGACATCACTAATGGATCACAGCACTCCCAAACATAGGCTAGAGCAGGGATGCTCCCAGTCATTGGGACTCAGATGAACAGAGCTAGGTTAGAACCCAGGCCTCTGCCAACAAATCAAGTGAATTTCTAGTGGACTTCCTGTGTTCTGAAGAGTTCTAGCCTTCCCTGAATTGTGTCCTGACCCCTCCTCCTACATTCTTTTCCTTTTCTTGTACCATTTCCTGGGTCAGAGGGCATGGCAGCACGGAATCTTCTGCTACAGGCCTGATTGCTCTGGGCCCTTACCTTATCTCTGTTCTCTGGCCCAGTGCCATGCCCTCATTTCTGCCCTGCAGGTTTCTCAGGAAATGTTAATTGTCAGGCAGGTCTTGGGCTAACCCTAGGCAAGCTGCCAAGAGGCCACTGACACCACACCCTCACCTCCCACAGAGCCTGCAGCTTCAGGGCTAGGTAGACCACTGGAGCTGACTTCCTCTGGGGCCCCCAGAGCAGCATCAGCCCATTCTCCTCCTCAGCCCTGAGGGGCTGGCTGTGTCACTCAAGACCTAGGCTTTAGTGACATTAGTCTGAAGCTATTGGCTGGGCTGCTAAAAGCCTGTCAGGGAGGGACATTTTATCATCAGGAGCCCATTTCAACCTTTTTGTCCATTAGATTAGCACTCAGCCAGGGACAGGCCTCTGGTTTACTGGGATGCAAGCTTTATGCAAGCTTTAAGTCAGGGGTGACTCTCAAACCACAGAGAAGCCTGGCTGGCCACAGGAGCTGGCTGCCAAGCCAGTAGAGGCCTACAAGCCACCAGGGGGCTGCCTGAGGCAGGTAGAGAGGGCAGGAGGAAGAATGGGGGTAGGGCAGCAACAGATCCAGTTCCTGGGATGGCAAGGGCTGCACAGGGTCAAGGCACATGGCTAAAGCTAACGGCTTCAAACTCCCCCAGGTGCAAGGTGGAGACTGGGAGACAAGGGTGTGAGAAGAGACTGAGGAAGTCATGTGGTACAGCTGTAGTTCAGCTGTCTCATGCTTCCTGGGGTTGAACCCCACCCCACCCCCACTATACCACTCATTGCTGTTCAAGCTGGGTCTCTGAGCTCTGCTCAGGGCCATGGTTTCTTTCTCTACAGAACAGGGGCAGCAAAACAATTCTCTTGTGGTGTGGGGGT